AGATTAGATAGCAGATGATTTAAAGCAACTATCGTCATCCGTATGAAAATCCCTAAGTTTAACGATCGTACTATCTACTATATGTTTATGATCGTCGTGTACGATAAGATTGATGCAAAAACCAAAAATAAAAAAAAAAAGAAATTATAGATGAGCATCGACGCAAGGTAATACGAAACATTGTCGCTCCGTTTGAAAAAGAAGGTCGAAACGATAATGTCGAGGAGGTATATTTGGTCAGCAAAGTGAAGAGGGAATTAATGTTCGTAGGTTGGTGAAAAACAAAAGTCGGGGGTATCACACGCGAGATAAATTTTACGAGAGTTGCACTGTCGCCGTATACGCTGGTATATTTACCTCGTTCATAACACACATGGCGCATAGTTCCTCGGGGCCGTGTATCGCAATCGGTCAGCCGAGCTGAGATAGAATCTTTTATAACCACTGCGGGGAGGAACGTGTTTATATCCGCGAGCGATTGCAACACGATATGTTAATGCCCCGAGCCGTGCTCTTCCCACGTATCGGCGATGTGCGCGTTTCCAGCCCGTCCTGGAAAACATTCCGGACTGACACACGTGACGTCTCCATCGAAGCTTTCATGAAAGTGTCACTGGACGATGGATGAGACGACATAAATGTCGTGTAGCGGTGAACATTTAAAAAACGAATGTCAAATGTATCGCTCGCATTCTGATTTTATTGTATCTATGTCCATTGATCTAGAATAAATGTGATGTACCAGTTTGTATCTCTCCTATATGATACTCTCTACGACACCACCACGGTTTAAAGCCGAGCTCGTAACCTTTTCCGAGCAATTTTTTTCAAAAAGAGTATGAGAGCGTTTCAGAAATTTTATCGGCTATTGTATTCAAAGTAATAACTATTAACGCCGATAATTTCCCGAATAATATCGCCGAAGAGTTTAGAGAAACGGTTCACTTGGGAGCTGCAGCACCGAAAATCATCGTGAGATTATTATTTAACGAATGATGGAATACAAATTAGATCCGCCAATGCACGATGATGTCGTTGTCAGTCATCGTGGCGAAGTAGGAGGCGTCCAAAAAAAAAAAAAAAAAAAACGTTCATGATGATATCTCGCGGCAAACAAGCTGGCACGTTAATGAAGACTCACAGTGTGAAGAAAGGGACGAAAAGAACCACGAATAGACCGAAAGGAAGAAGGAAAACGAAGCAAGCGAATACCGTACGATGACAACCCCGGATGTGTCGATAGCATCTCGACATTAAGTAACCATGCAGCCAACGCGAGTAACTCACGTTGTATGCGAGTGTAAGAAAATCTACAAGCATCAATATATTCACCATTTACGAAGGGATGAAACTTCTAAAGAGGATTAAGAAACCTAAATAATCCATATTGCGAGACGGATGATGCACACGGATGAGCACCATCGACATTTTTATTTAATACTTCAAGATTGCAGCCCTTTATCATTACATTTGGTAATACAATTAGCTGCGACGTGAATTTCACAAGACTAAGTACATCATCATCAGTTTCTTCATGAAACAATTTTGTTTTACTTTAGTTATCATTAAATTTATTAATAAAAATTGACAAAAAAAGAAAAAGAGCGACGCTGTCTTGCTTATCGGAGATAAATGAATTTATTGTATCATTTAACGATATTTCGGAATTTCGGAATTTGTGCGACGCGAGGCGGCGATTATTCGTTGCAGTTGTTAATGTATTCGACACTCGTATCGTTTCCTCGCTTCTCGAAGCCCACGGACGTGCTTTCGCGTTAATGACATACACGTACATCGCAATAGCGTTGCGATTAAAAGATACGAGATACGCGACATAATGGATAGCAATGCATCGTCAGTTTCTTTCGATTTTTGCAAATCATGATTTTGTGAATCATGCGTGCACAATATATTGAGAATGAAAATGTTGTGTGCGCGAGATTTAACAATCTAATCTCATTTGATATAATAATTCAACTAATCAATAATTATAAACGCAATCTTATCGTATGACTGTAATTTATGTTGACAGGTGTGATTTGTCTAAGCTCAATGATATTTCCGCGAATCTAATATGTACGTATCTAATTAAGTTCTTTTAACACCTTTAACATCGATCTTTAATCGATCACACGTTATTAAATAAAACATGTACATTCATCGTTTCATCGCATTCGCGCGTTCTCCCGTTTTATGAATAAAAGAATAATTTGCATTTCCCGAGACGTCAACTGCGTCGCGATCGGATCGTGCTTATGTAAGAAAAATACCGAACGACGAGAGAGGCGGAGAACGTACGTATATCTTTACGGACGTTCTCCAAACGCTCGCTATCGTCGCTCGGTGAAAGCGCCAATTGCGGATTATCATGTTCCTGTCGCTGCGCAGGAGAGCCATCAATTTTTTTTTTCCCCTCTCTCGCGATCTCGCGTGCGTCAACGGTTGCGCTTTCCACGGTGGCCACGTGCGAAACTCTCGGGTTCTACGTTCTACGCGCTCTCACGACAGATCTCGCCCGCGGAGATTGATATCTGGTCACGAACCAACAGTAGCCTGTACGCGCAATACACGCACGTTCAATTCGTGGATATTAAATCTGAAGATGACATTAACATTTGTGTTTGTCGGATATGTATGTACTACACGTGTATGAGAGAGCGAGAAAAATTTTATCTCTACTTCTTAACTTCTCAGCTAGGAAGATGTATGACAATGTTAGGTAATACGTATATTATTCGTTTCTCTTCCATCAAATTTGATTTGTTGGAATATGCTTCTAAGTATGCTCTTTATATGTTTTTTTGTTTTAATTAAATAGATTTATTAAATAGATTTAAATATTCATTTAATTATTAAAATTAATCAATAATTTCAATAAAAGGATATTAGTTAACTTACTATAACATTTTAATTGCATTAAAAAATAATAATTAATACCTTTTATATATCTTACTTAAATTATATATTATTTTACACTCTTTACTCTTAATTTTTTATTCTTAAAGTAATTTTTTACACTTTAACTTCGAATTATAAAATATTGATTTTTTTAACCAATTCAATCTAAGAATTTTTATTTATTTCTTATTTACTTCAATAATAATATTATAATTTAATTTCCCACATTATATTACCCCCCCCCCCCATCCTAATTATCATCTCTACTTAATTTTTTTAACTAAAACCAAAAAGAGGTATATTATTGTTAATAATATCATTGATATTTTTATATTTAAATTTCTAGTTGAAGTAAATTAAAATGAACTTCTAATTCATTATATTACAGGAAAATACCCCGTATTACTTTATTCTATATACCTATGAGGCGATATCATTACCATAATGGGGATAAGAATTGGGGATAAGTTATTTTGTAAGTTTGAAAATAGCAGAAGGATTATCCTTCATTTATTACATCTCTTCGTAAAACATGAGAACAATAGCAATTTAATGATTATACTTACAATCATAGAATTTTCAAGCTCGCGAATATTATTTTCGAAAAACATTAATTTGAACCACTTATGTTTTTATGCCAATTATGGATATACGATATAGATGAACGATTATTGTTAGGCCATTCACCTTACAAAGCAAGAGTCATGAACTTGTACGATTAATTGTAAGTGCTTGGCGAAATTAAAAGGACGGTAGGCACGTGCTGAAAGAAACTCGCGCGCAAGACCCTCGTCAACATTTTTCCGCGACAAATCTCGCACAGCAGATTCGTATCTCGTCACGAAATGGCCGTTGCACGCCCTCCATTTGCATCGTCGAATATTATAGCAAGAACGAAGATGCAACAAGACTATTTCTTAACGTTGAACGTTACGCGGCACCATTTCAGAAGCGGCCATTCATTATTTCCTCCTCTCTCGCTGATTATCAGTCATCATCGGTTTCATCTTCATCATCTTCTCGCCCAGTCGTCCGTCGTCGTTTGGCGTAGCTCGCACTTATGATTGTTATTGATCAACCGTTTTGTTTCTCGCCCGCGTACATACGTATGTATGTGCGTGCACGCCCGGCCGAACTGGCACGCTACGCGGCACTATAATGTTGGCACGACAGAACGAATATAGAGAACGGCGGGACCTTAATGAATCTTTATGGGATGATGTCGTGAACTTGTATACCCTCCGGTGACTGACTGAACCCGGTCGCGTTTTAACCATTGGCGCGGTTCGTTCGTTACTACCGAACTTTTCCACTTTCCTTCGGTCTACCATCAACAAACATTTTCGTTATTGTACCCGTTAACGATAGAATAAATCGTAGCAAATATAGAGAAATACATATTTTTCTTCATATCGCAGTAAAATAAAGTAAGACAAAGTAATAAAGCGTCTTTCTGCAACGAAATATTCGTATAAATACAATGGGACTAGAAAAGTGTAATCTTATATGTATCGCGCCAGGGTAGCTTTGGAAAAAAAATGTTATTTGCTTAAAGGAATAAAGCATAATAATTGATTATGAATTGTTGTATAATAATAAAATCTCGTTGACTACGCCAATGCGACAAACTGCTCATTAGGCTCGACGGTGGCTTCGCCGCGAGTTTGATGGTATAGACGCTCGCGTCCGTGTTCATAAAATTTGAAGGGCGTGTAGAAGCGGTCCGTGGGGTCCCAACTAGACGCGCGTCTTGATTGTCATCAACTCGTTGTTCGTCGCGTGATATTGTCATTAGCCCGCCTAGCCGTCGTCACCCGCGCGAGTCGTGCCTGGACATGTTTCATTGCCCCACGTGAGGGAAACCTATTTTAATTCTACTTCAATCGATCCAAAAATTTTTATAAGCCGTCGTCGCTTACGCGATATTAAACCCAACGCTATATTTATCAATCCAATGTGACCTTTACTGAATTAGGTATTTAGAAAAAGACAACTGTATGTTGTTTACCGTTAAAAAATAAATTATAATACGTATATAACGTAGATAAAAATTTATGCCGTTTCGTTACATATTTCTCCTTTACAACGATCATCAAACTTACCTGGGTCCGATGAATCCAAGCTGGCTGGCGCTTGCTGGCTGAGAGGTCCAGGTGTACCACCACTTCCGGGGCTGCGGGCGTCATCGTTAGCACCCGCGCCGGGATACGAAAGCGACGAGGAAGGCGGCCTCTGAAATACAGAAAAGATCGTACGTTAATTTTTTTTACATTAATCTTTATATTTTTTTTCTCCTTTACGCGCGCGCATTTTTACACCTCCATTTACAAATTTATTTCGCAGATTTCTCGTACTTTATCTTACTCTCTTCCTTAATATTACCTACACGCGCGTCACATCGGTCTCGACTTCATCTAGACAATTTCAAAAATGTTGACGTTTGAAAATCAATCACAGTCTGTTACGAAACGTTGATATCGCTTTTTTTATATATTATTTTCATTTTCAATAGTTTTGTTTCATGTAAATAAAAATTTCTAGCTCGTGAAGCCCATGTCACGCTAACGTACGTCGAAAATTTTTTCGTTGTCTATGCTGAACACGCACGTACATATACTCTGGATTTTCCTTTTAATCGCATATATTATATAAACAATAATGTAACATCATGTAAAAATAACGTGATTGATAAAGTGTTCGACTTTTCGAATAAGACACAATTAGAATTAATGGACATTTACAATGTGCTATTTTGGTGTACGTACTAAAAAAAAATAACATTAATCTCACATGATTCCACGAAATATATATTTATCAAATTAATGTACGATGCAACATTGAAACAATTTGTATTACCGAGCATTCCGAAATAATTCATCGTGACATAGAACGTCTCGTTAATTTTTAATGATCTTTAATACGCTCTTTCCTTTCATTGTGATTCTCAAAAAGAAATTTCGCGATACTGTCCTGCACGCTGACCATTGATGATCCACGCGTGCGTCAAGCCGATTTCGATCTCGATTAAAGACGGAGCACACGTATCTCTCCACGAAAATGCTGCCGGCATACTTAAATGATTCGGGGGAGCCCGACAAGACGCGCACGACTTACGAATCAACGGATTTACTGGGAGAAGCCGCGTGCGCGGACGAATGTCTGCCGTAAATATTCAATCGTTTATTCCGTAGGTGTAGCCGTGTGATAATGACGCTCGTAGAGAATCTCCCGCCGTAGGAGGAAAGAAACGAGACGTCTACGGATCTGCGTCGGGACACGCGCGGAATTACTTTCGCGCGCGGAACGTAAGTTTGTTTTACGAATCAGTTCGACGGCAATGCACAAAGCGCTGTACGTAGAAATACGTGACTGCAGTTATAACATCTAAATGACCGATGAACGAAACAAATAAGAAATTGTTGAAATTGTTTATGAATAAAATTGCGCATGAATAAAATTTTCATAGGATAACAAAGGAATAAAAAAAGAGACATCAATGAGTTCAACCAACTTTCTCCCTTGGCACAAATTATAATACTTGGCAGTACACAAATAACAAATCGTAGATCAATCTAAGGCCAATTCGTTGATTCTCGCTAACGTATTCCGAAGTGTTATTAGTGTTATTAGAGCCACGGCGCGGCGGGATGGGAGCACTCATTGAATGATTCTTCATAACGATCGTATATGATGAACGAACGGATCCTCCTGAGGGTCATTGACTTCGTTTTTTCAAGCAGATTCAAGCATAAATTTTTCCGCTCAAATAATATATCTTAATAGCGATCACTTTAAAAGTAACTTTCTGTACTTTTTATAAAACATACATCTAAAAAAAAAAAAACACGATATTTGACAGTTTATTGATCTCGTCCCGCCGCGAGGTTGAAGGGCAAGAATTTGAAGCAGGCGAATCTCTCGATATCACGAAGCGAAATGTCTGGGTATATCAAGTCTGGCCAGGCAACAATGAGTGACAGCTACTCCCACATGCTGTCATAAGCGTCATCTTCGCGATAATGTACCAACTCGCTCCCTCCCTCGATTGCTTGCTCTGGTATCTCGTCTGAAATCGTTACGCGGTCAACTCTAAAGGATCTGCTAGAGCAGACACGTGTTACGTGAATTTATTGGTTTGTAGAAAAAATTTTTTTGTAAAATATAACGAACAATGAATAGGTCATAAAAGCATTTATGTGATATATTGTATATCACGGGAGTTCTTGTAGATAAGAATAAAAATGATTTTGACTAAACAAAAATAATTTTCAATATTTTATAAAATAAAGATATGTGCCTCCCTCTCCAGAAAATAGAGCTTCGAGAAAATAGAAAAATATGGAACATTTTTTGTTTTTTAAATGTTTGTTTAATTTAAGAACCAATAGCTTAAATTTTTGAACGAAATAAATGGCTGGAGGACAAATATAGCGTATATTTTTTATATAATGATGACTCAGAAAGAGTTTCACATGAAATAATTAAATAAAGATTTTCTTATCAGAAAATCTCAAGCAGGCACACGATGTGTATGAAATAAGAAGTCACTCTTCGATTTGATTAATTACTCACGATCCTTGAATGACTATTTTACTCAGGGATGCCGATAGATTGCATGAGCAAGTAAATACGAGAGTGGTAACGAGTAAGGGGACATTAATAATGCATTGGTCGTCGTCGGACCGTTTCCTACTAGCCACCTAACGTAAAACGAAAGATCATGGTTGTCAAAGCGGATAATCCTCAAATCGTGCTTGCAATAAGTCGAGCGATATCATTTCAATGAGACTAACCTCGCGAAAGATTGTGTGAAATTAATCGAAAATTCGTGCGATAACCGCTGGGATTCTTAAGCAATTTCTCAGATATTATTAGACGTCGTTAATTTTATGCATTAAGATTGTGAAATGACAACGCAATTAACGACAATTATTGAAGATTTTGTGGAATGAATATTCTCATCAAATTATCATCATCCGGTCGAGAAACTTCGGTCGTACGATGAAAGCCGTATAGTGAAGCTGTTTACGTCGCGTTTAGAGAGATATAGCTCACGGCACCTATACCTTCAAAGCTGACGTCACTTCCTACTAAAGGCTGAATCGCCGTTTTTTAAGTGGCCAGTAGGGTCCACCGCGTGACTCGTGTCGATGCAATGATAAACGGTTAACGGGTCGACGAGCTACGCGCTCTCGTTCCAACGTCGTTGCCTCTCACTCGCACGTTCGTCCCGTCGTCCATCTCTGTTTGTATCTGCCAGTCCGTCTACTATGGGCACTCTTAAAGTGTAATTCGACAAACCGGATGTCTGGCCTGGCCCTTAAATAAATCAGTTGCCCGCATCTCATATTCCACCCCCGCTCGTTTATACCGTACGTTTCCTTCCCGTTGAGGAAAAATGTCTCTTCAGAACTACGAGAATGCGTCCTTGAGAGGAAGTAATAGTCATCGAGGAACCCCTCGAAAGAGCGATCTGCGAAATCTACGCGAAGGAGGAAAAGTGAAATCTCGAAGCCCGAGTAGCAGAGCGTTAGGCAATATCGGTTTGCGCCCTGATACGCATTCCCGTATTGTTACAGCCGTCATTATGATATGAAATGTGAATTTCGTCGAACGCGTGATATCACTAATATCCCATACGAAACATTTCGTGCAAGTGCAGTAAGAGCGATTGAAATTGGGAATCGCTTGTAGAATATTCGCCGTAATAACCGACGCGCGTTCACTGTCATCCTCACGGACAGTAAATTACGATCGCTTATCGAAGCAACGTATATGCATCGTACGTGTATTCCGTGATTTGAAGCATGATATTTTGCGTGGAATCGCACGAGATCGCGAAGAAACGTAACTTATTATCGCAAATCGCGTTTTCAAATCATTGTACGTGCGTATTAATTGACCGTCGTAACATAATGCCATATAATTATGTAATTAGAGGCCAGGCATTAGTCTCGCTGACTGGTTTACGGGCGAGATATGTAAATCTCTGCAATTAATTTATTGGTGCTCAAGAGCTCGAGAGAAGGTTATAAGAGAACAAGACATAAACGATGCGGACGGGGGCGATAAAGACGGAGAAACTAGCAGATCCAAGTTGGACAGAGTGGCAGACTGGAGAGAGACAGCGATAGATTATGGAGGTAAGGCAGCACATTGTAAGTGTGCCTATCGGCTGGACCCAGATCAAGAGTCTCTGTCTTCTTAGTCGTTCCACAGAGCGGAATAAGAATGGGTAGAAATGAAGACAAGAGAGAGAGAGAGAGAGAGAGAGAAAGTAAAAGAAAGACAGAGAGAAAGAGAAGAGAGTCTAGTCTCTGTCTGTGTAGTCTTGAATTTCTCGGCGATACCGGCGGGCGTATATAGGGATCATAAATTACGATTTATTGCAGTGGCAGCGCCTCCGCTCGCCGGATTATCTTACCGTTATGTCAGCACACTACAATTATATTTACATTTCCTTCGTAATGGAATATCATGCCAGCATCGTAACCGTTCAACCGAACTAATCGAGACATATCTGAGATGAATTTTCAAGGTAACCTAAGCTACCTGCCATAGAAGTTATAACGTTATCTTAATCGTTGTTCTTAAAAACACATTCTCAAAAAGAAAACTGACAAATTGTTTAAACATTCAAATCGATATAAAAACTGCGTCATGATAATTTCGTCATAATTTTCACCGTCTCAGAAATAACGTAACGTACACACTTAACATCGAGTAAAAAAGTTATATGTACTGAAATAATTTTGACTAAAAAGATTACTTCCTTTCGTTGATTATATTCAGGTTATAAATATTTTTCGTAACGGATTTACGATGCAAAAGAGTAAAAAAAAAAAATGTACTGTAGGTGGGAGTTTAAAGGCACTAACTACATATAGCCACAAGTTTCAAGCGATTAAATGGCCACGAGTTTAGACCTTAACAAGGTGTACACCTGACTGAGGAATGATTTTAAAACGGTCGTATAAACGAAACAAATTTATGGTTGAGATGAGGAGAGACGAGAGGAAAGAGCCTGTTTTGAAGCTCCGGCTAGCGTTCATCTCCTTTCACGGGATAAACGCACGAGTGAGCGACGTGTTAGATACAACACGGAGGAGAAGATGACCGACCAGTCATAAATATGGAATCCGGTATTTGGCGCGTTGTCAATAAAACGAAATCCGGATTCGTACTGTTGCTTTTACGACTCCTACTGCATCGGGCATCCATCGTTTTTGGCT